CAGAGGACTTTGCCTCTGAGACAGAGCTAAAAGGTATTGGCATTGGTGCTCTGAGGGTCCAATATCTCTTGATGATTTCCGAAGCTTCAGCGGTCAAACAAGGTATCTTCCATTTGATTTCATGGCATCAATGATCAATACTGCACACCTCTTTTTTTTAATAACAGATAATGGGATCTTCCCAGTGAACCGTTCTTTTTTCTATTGCTGCATTATACAGGAATTAAGAAAGCAACTGGAAAGTCAGGTCCTTACAATTGATGCGTTGCGCAATGATAATCGTACAACTATTGAGCATCATGAAAATGTAAGTTAAATTTGGATTAATTTTCTATTTCCACTTGGCCTTTGTTTATAAAGAGGAAAAGATACAGCAAAAAGAATTGTTTTATCCTTTATAATCTTTTGGATTTAGTGCACATCAAGTTTCTTTTGGGTATAAACGTATCATTTTAATTTTGGCGATTACTGTTATTTTATCTATCAGGAAATAAAAGGGATTAAAGAATCAATTACAAAATCTTTCCATGATCAACTGGAAGAGTTGCATACTATTTTAGATGTTAAAAAGAAGGAGCTGAAGGAGATAAGTAAATTATCAGCTGAACAGAAACATACTATAGAAGACCTTAATGAAAGACTTAATGCATCCATGCAGTCTTGTAGCGAAGCAAATGAAATAATGAAAAGGTGAAGGAACCAGTTGCTATCTAAACACATATTTCATATTGGTCTTTGTTTTATCTTTTTCTTTTTTATGTTTCATATTGATGTTTCTATTTTTTTTTTTCGAGATAAAAGTGGGAAGTGTATTAAGATGATGCCAAAGGGGCGTGACCCATGTACAAAAGTATAGAATTTACATATCTATAAGTATATCTACAATAGAATCAAAGTCATCAAAAGAATCAAGGTTATAACCAAGCATAGTAGAGCCAAAAAAATGAAGTTATCTATCCTTGATGATGGCAAAGTTATAGTCTTTGCTTTCAAAATTTTACAATTTCTTTCTTTTCAAATAATCCATAAAATTGTTAGAGGAATTAATCTATGCGACTTATTCTTCATTCTGAGGCCTTCCCAGGCTAAGATTTCCTCCTTAACAGTTCGAGCAATAACCCAAGAGATACCGAGCAACTTATGAATCGAAGATCACAGATCATAGGAGATCGGACACCAAAGAAGTAAGTGGTTGCAGGTTTCCAGACTCTGCTTGCATAACACACACTGGTTCGCCAATACAAAGCCTCTTTTCATGAGATTGTCCAAGGTGAGAATGCGTCCCTTAGAAGCTTCCCAGGCAAAAAAAGAAATTTTTGGTGGAGCGAGTTACTTACAAATGATTTTGTGCGGGAAAACCGGGAGGGGATCGGATCTGTCCGTCAGGGACCTGTATAGGGATTTAACAGAAAACGCCCTGTTTTTACTAGATGTATAGGGATTTAAGCCGATTCCCTCCTTAACTTAATTTGTCATCAGCGCTGAGGTTGATGTTGGCCAGTAGACGGATCAGTTTTTCATACTCTGGCACCTCCCAGTCATTCAAGTTCCTAATAACAAAAACATCCCATATCGAGGGGCCACTAACTCCAAAGGCAGTCTCCACAAGCATGGTCTTATCCTTAGCAATAGCAAAAATGTGAGGGAATCGGCTTTGGAAGCTTTCACCACCACACCGGACATCCTGCCAAAGATGGACCTTATCACCTCTGCCAGGAACCCATTTGGAATTATTTAATACTGGTTGGGCTGATTTCATAATGTTTTTCCAAAGGCTGCACCCAAATGGACTGTTAACCACTCTTGATTGATCAAAAAGGTCTTTACCAAACCATTTGCACACAATGATTCTTTTCCAAAGGCTATTGCTTTCATTCCAAAATCTCCAAGTCCTCTTACCATGTAATGCTTTGTTGAGGTCAATAATGGATCGCAGACCTAAACCTCCAGCTTTGTTCGGTACCTTGATTTCATTCCAGTTGACTAAGTGAATTTTTCTGTTGGAGTCGACATCCCCCAAAAGGAACTGGCATTGGATAGTTTCAAGCCTCTTGGCAACTTTCTTAGGAAAGATGAGGACCGAAAGGTAGTAGATGGGGAGATTAGATAAAATGCTTTTGATTAGAGTTAGGCGAACCCCCTTAGATAAAAATTTTCTTTTCCAACAGGCAAGCCAATGCTGAAACATGTCGATAATTGGTTCCCAACTAGTGCTGTCTTTGTGCTTAGCACCCAGTGGAACGCCTAAGTATTTAATGGGCAGGAGAGCAGTCTTGCAACCCAGAACACCAACAAGGAATTCTGAATAAGTATTATTACCCAGCATGATAAGTTCAGACTTCCTCAAATTGATTTGTAATCTCGATGCAGCTTGAAAACATAAGAGGATGCATCTGAGGTGGAGAAGGTTACTGATGCTCAGCTGGCCGAATAGAAGTATATCGTCAGCAAAGAAAATATGATGTCAAAAGTATATTGATGTTTCTATAATTTATTCATAATTAGTTTTGAAAGATGCACAATAAGGAGTTGGCACTGTGGTAGCTCTGTCCATCTTGTTGGGAAGAATATGATGTCAAAAGCTCTCATTTGACCAATAGTTGGGTTGTATCTTACAAAGTATCAAGAAAAGTGAAAGAGGAAAATAGAGAACTGATGAGGGACTTGTAGATTCTCTTGAGAATTATATAATTTCTGTTTGGTTTTCTTTATCGAGGCATCAACAGCATTCTTAAATCATCATTGTTTAGTATTATTTTATCCTGAATTTATCAACTGGATCAGTAAAACGTTTTTCCCTCTTGTTTTAGGTGAAGAAATTCTTCCTTCCATGCTTTGTCTACCTCTATCTTTTAATATGTTTACAACTTGTTTGAATATAATTAAATTGCCTGCTGATGATTATCATAATCCAGTATCCTAACTCTGGTGGATGAGGGTGCTTTAGCTGATGTGTCCTTTATATGAAAAAACGATAGTAATAGCTTGGTTGTTACTTTCAGTCAGAAGGCATCAATAGCTGATCTCAAGGCACAGTTAGATGAAGAGCAACATCAGAGAAGAGAAGAAAGAGAAAAGGCTGCAATTGACTTAAAACTGGCTGTTCAAAAAGCTCAGATAGAGGTTCAAGAGGAATTAAAACGATTTTCTGATGATGCTTTAAGGCGAGAAAAGGAACAGCAGGAAGTAATTAATAAGCTTAAGGTATAGGTGATTTAAACAACTATATCCATATTAATTTTTTGTGCTGATTTTTCTTAAAAATAAATGAGAAATAATTGAACTGGGAATGCAAATACAGGAATTGGAGAAACAAAGCTCCTTGCAATTGGAAAGTTTGTTATTAAAATTGGTATGCATTACCCTTGGTTTCCTAAATAAAATCCATAATCTTAGTACTTTCTAAAAATCTTTTAAAGGTTTTATTCTCTATTCTCTTTTGTTACAGGAAGATACAAGACAAAAGTTGGTTCTGTCAGATAATAAAACCCGCCAACTAGAAACTCAAGTCTGTGAACAGCAGCTAGCTACTGCAAATGAAAGAAAAGTAAACAAGCCTATTTAATCTTATTACTTACTAGTAGTGTTAAAGGTTTATTTTCTGTTCTCCATGTTTTTTCTACATCCATATGCAGCTAATCTTTTACGGGTATTTGCTATTTGGAGCAGAAAGTGGAAGAACTCGAACACGAAATAAAAACACTGAGGAAAGAGCTTGAGAGCGAAAAGGTATAGACAAAGATATTTGTCCTTTTTCAACCTCTTAGCTAACGCCCGGGCATATTACTGTGAATAACGTATCTCTCCCCATCAGCCTAAAAAATTAATACTGGCTTTATTGCTTAACATACTTATTTGGTCAATGACAATGAACAATCAAGAAGACTTATGGCTGGGCCAGTGATTGCCATTGCACTTCAAAGAGGCGCCAGCCTAAGGTCTACCCAAGTGGGACTTTTTTTTTTTTTTGAGAAAAAATTTATTGCTCAACGACTATCTTGAGTTTCCAAGCATAAACTATACTGTTGATAACCTCTGGAGGGTGTTTAAATTGCTTATTTGCTTGTTATAAGTAGCTTTAAGTACATTTTTTAATATTCGCATTTGGTCATGTTAAATTTTCTTATCGGTATCTTAGGAAGTTATTTGATTTTTAAGCTGAGGTTTTGTTTGCTGATGGTAGCAGGCAGCTCGAGAAGAAGCATGGGCTAAAGTTTCTTCGTTAGAGCTGGAGATAAATGCTGCAATGCGGGACCTTGATTTTGAGAGACAAAGGTTAAAAGGTGCCAGGGAAAGAATTATGCTTAGGTAAGCTCTGTAATTAAAGAGCTGTGTTTTAGGTCCTTTTGGGAGAACATGATCCCCACGTCACTCACCGATGTTTTCTGCTGTTTAGGATTACTGGTTTTCGTTTATCTTGCTGAATTTTAGTATTCATATTTGATTTTGTTTAATTGTGTTAATAATTCTCATGTAAAATATCTCAAATCTTATAGTTTTTTATGAGGCCAGTACCGGCTATTATTGTAACACAGCTGCTCTTTCTGTCTAATGAAACTATTCGTAAGCAATAGTTATC